TGCAAGCATGAGCTCTTGCTTTTTACTATGCCATTCTCTTATTTGTTTCAGCTGAATTCCAAATTTATCAGCAGTACCACGAACAGTAGCACCTGAAACCCTGCTTATACATTTATTGTAAAAAAAACTAATTAATGAATACGTAGAATTGAACAAACTAACTAGAATCTCTATTGCTACCTATTAAGATATATAAGAATATAAAGTTTTTCACATGCTATCCATTGATGTTTTTTTATTTGAAGTCTTATCATAGGTGTATATCTTATTTGTTCTATATTTAAATAAAGTTTAACTATTAAAAACTTTGAAATTGACTATTATAAACTTTGGGGGTCAACTATTAAAACTTTGGAGATTGATTATTAAAAACTTTCGGAATTGATTGTTAAAAACACGACAAATTACAGTAAACAAGATTTTATATTCGTGATATACTGTATATAAATCAAAAGCTTGGGGGGGTCTTTTACCAGACAAATTGTTCTATAATATGTACCCCCTGTATACAAGATTCCTCATATAGTATACCCTCTGCTATACAGTATACTTGAGAGGTATAAATCAAGAAAAACTAGTATAGATAGTAAGAGACCCCGGGTACTTTCTATAGCGAAAGATGGTATTTGTGTGTGATAATTAAAAAAATTCAGAAGGTGCTTTTAAATATATTGACTGTTAAGTATTAATATGATAACTGAAAGTATTTTAAACAGGATTTAATTTTTGAAATGTTCAAAAGTAGAAAATCTGATTCTAACTCTAAACATAAATCAGAGTTTTTTTTATCAATTATGCAATATACAAAATATAATTATATAAATATTTATTTAGATTTTTTCTAGTAGATTAGTCATCATAGCTAAGAAAAGCATTACACTACTATTGTACTATACCTTTAAATTTTCCAATTGTTTTCTTTACATATAACCTAACTTTGCTATAAGAAAAAATTTCGATATATAATTTTACATTTTTTATTCTCGGTCAAACTTGCTTCATGAGCTGACTTCTGACTGACTGGTCTGATCAAACACATATCATGGTGTAATTTTTTTCACTACTGGTTAGTAGATGAATTGATAAAGACATTAATATTAATAAATAATAATCACTTCCAAATTCGTATTAAATCACTTAACTTGATTTATTCCATGGTTCATATTTATACTTCTATACTATTTCAATATGCTTATTGCCCAGATCTTAAATTCGGGCTGATTCGGGATTTTTAAATTATATAGACAGAGCCAAAACTTACTTCAGACTGTAACTTCTAAAATTGTTTGGCTAAGCCAAAACTTACTTTAGTTCATAACTATTTAAAATTCTTTGAACTAGCAAATACAATATTTTATTTATAATTATTTAATTTTGCATACATATATTTAATATAATTACTATTTAAAAATAATTTAAATATTTCCAGAATTATGAAATTCAAAAATATTTGTAGTTCTATCTTTTGTTACTGAGATATTTTGAGTTTGGTCTTGAAGTTTTTGAAATAGAACGCAAAATAGTTTGTTTAACATTAATTTAATTTCTTCATTAGCATTACCTAATTTTCTCTTTTTAGGAATTGTTTGCTATGAACCTTGTGATTTAATTTGCGTAGTGTGGGATTCTTGTTGACCTTGTGTAACTTGAAATTTTCTTGGTATATAATTTGAGATTCTTCTTGTTGCATAACTTGAAATTCTTCTTATTATGTAACTTGAAATTCTTCTTGTTATGTAACTTGAGAATTTTCTTGTATATATTGAGAATCTTGTTGCATAACTTGAAAAACTTCTTGTTCATTAATATGAGATTCTTGAATTGTGCTAATTAATAAAGCAGAGTTTTTAAGTAGCTGATCATTATTAGGAACCTTATAGGAGCGTAATCTATTAACAGAGTGATAGTCTAAAAATTGCATTATTTCGTACTTATTAACATTAAGATTAGATAAAAGCTGAATAGCAGTTCTTTTGTCTGAATGATTAGTAATTTTTTGATCATTAATATCAATATCTGAAGCATAAGCAATTTCTTTCATCATGCTACCTAAAGTATTTTTTTCTAATCTAGTAATACTAAACCAGTCTCTATTATTAATTTTCTGAGCAGTTCTTGTTAATTGCAAATAAAAGTATTCATATGTATTTGATGAGTATAAATTAATATAATTTAGAATATCCTGAATTGGTTTAAATTCACTGTTAGGTAGATCAGCAGAAATATATATACAGTGACTAGTAAATTTTCTATATTTGTTTTGACCTTTTAGTCCACTCTAATTATTTTTTTCATGCCCAATTATAAAAACCAAACTTCTATCTGATTGAAACTCAAAGCAATTAAGCAAAAGATGATAATGATTACTTCCATAAAGTCCTAATAAATATGTGTTCTAGAAAAAAACTTTCTAAGTAAGTTTTAATACTATTTGTTTATCTGATTTAAGATATAATAAGATTTGCTTAATTTCTTCTGTTATTAACCCTTTTGATTAGTCAATTTTATCTAATTCTTGATCTTGTAATTCTATTATTTTTCTATTTACAACTCGATATAAAATTGGAAATTGATATCTATTATTGATATTTACATTTTTAATTGTTGAGACTTCAAACAAATAACAACAAAGAGAAGTATAGGCAGATACAATTGATTCTGCTTTATAAGGACTTCTATCTTTCTATTTCATATTTGCAAAATATTCACACAACTCTTGTTCAAGTTGATCTTTGTAAGTAAGTATTTGAATATCATAAGAAATATATTTTTTTTGGTAATATTCTTGTAAATTTCAAACCTATTTTTGCATACAAGCATCAGTGTTTTTAATTTTGGATTTCTTTACATATTGTTGAATATTATCTTCAGTTAGATTATCAATTATATGTTTGCTTAGTGTATTTGATTCATTAATATTGTTATGTTCATTGTTACTGTTTAATAATTCACTAGCTAATATAAAATTATTAAGTAAAGACATGGAAAGAATTTTTTTTTTTTACAAATTATTTTTTTTTTACTTAATATTGACAATCAATAGTTTAATCACTTTTATAAAGAAATAGTATAGAAGAATAATTGAACCATTGAATAAATCAGTTATTACTCAGAAGTATACAATAACCAAAAATTAAACTCAGATCAAATGATCGAATAATGATGAAATGACTATTGGCTGCTTAGCAACCAGCAGTCATTTCATCATTATCTGATCATTGGATCTGAGTTTAATTTTTGATTATTGTACACTTCTGAGC